TTTTCAGTTAACTCAATTGCCACGATGGGAAGGAAGGTGAGAAACGGTATGGTGGAGAGTCCGCAATACTTGAAGATGTTTTAACAAAAGCTGTTTCGCAAGTCTGCAGAACTCAACGGTCGAGCGAGTAGAGGAAGCGACTATAAACCTCTGGGGCCTGGAGGTCTTGAAGAGGAAGCAAGGCCAAAAGCTCAATGCGTGACTGCAGAAAAGGTTTAAAAATTGAAAGGCAGGTACGTCAGTGCTGGCCGGGCACTGATATCACATCCACTTGGTGCGGTCTTTGTTAGATGAGGCACACCAAGGGATCCTCATCCCCCTGCTTCTTTTTTGCGCGCTTTGTACATGTTAAAAAATTGACAAGCTGTACGCTAATAGCGTTACTAGGAGCCTTTAGTAGCGAAACCGGGGCCCTTAGTAGCGTCCTTTGTGACTCGAAACCTTAGGGACAGGGGTGGACACACACACATACGATTCAAAAGCGCCAAACTAACTCGCACCTGCACCTGCTTGTATTCCAATAACAAATGCGGTTATTATCTTCACTCAAGGCGTTCTATTGAAAGAATGTACAACATTGAGACGATTGAGAGAGATCCTCTTTGGGGGGCAAGCAGCTGTTATTCTTGAAATAGGCTTCGTCCAAGCTACGCCGTTCTTGAAAGATATCAAGTTTTGTGCAAATGTATTGGACGTTTGAAACAAATCCTTTTCCTTCAAGGTAAGCATGTGTTTTTTCTTAGAAACAAAGGAGTTTGAAGTGTACATGAAGTCTCCGTGCATTCGCTTTTGCTTGCAAATCGGTCCAAGCACCAAAATGGCACTCACCAGGGTAACATTCCAGCAAAGAATGTAATCTCACATGCCGCATGGAAAACTATCTAATATGTTCTGCAGCACAAATGGAGGCCTTTACTTAAAGAATGTATTTTCCTACAAAAAACAACTTTTTGCACAGCTGAAGGCTTTACGCACATACTACTCACTTCAATAAAGTAGCAGTAAACTTGTGACAAAACAATTGTCATATACTCTACAATATAACTATTGTTAAGCTAAGAGTATATAAACTCTTCATCATCTGTATTTGCTTACACGTGCTTCTCACGTTTCTTATATGGCTTGTCCGCAACTTGAAGCTGCGTTGGTGAAGGGACAAACTACCTGTTTGGAAAGAGTCCAGTGGTGAGTGGAAAACCACCAAATTCAAGGAGTATCCAACATATCCAAATGACTTGCGTAAAGTCTTTGCGGTCGCCTTTAGTGAAGCTCAGCCTTTGATAGAATCTGGGGCAAAGATACCAGCATGGTTCTCTCGAAGGCCATTCAGACCCTCTGAGAGGGCTTTGATTTAACAGCTCCTAGAGGACCAAATTTCTGTCGAGTGGAACGACACGAACAGAATCTTTAGTAATTCGGAATTTGAGCTGCAACTGACAGCCACAGGCGACTCGCCCTTGTATGTGAAAGAAAGAAAGATGTGCCTCTGCAAACTCATAACATCGGCTGTGTCCACAAACAAGCAAAAAACACAATACACACCCCAAAAACACTCAGGCCCTACGAGTACAGCTCCCCAATGCCCAATGGCCCCCCCCTGTGGAATGCTGATCGACCCGAGATGCGCTTGGCCAGGCTCGCTCGGTGCCTGGGTCCAAAAGGGCAGCAAAGGCCAATGGATGGAGCTGGAGGCGAACGCAGGCACACACCCACGGGTGATCGCCTCGCATCGCTTTCGTTTTGAGACGATACGGGTGATGTGGGCGGATTGAAGGGGAGAAGAGAGGGACATTGGAACATGCAGAATGCAGAAACAGAAGAATGGATATATAACGATATATGTGTTCTGAGGTGCCTTGGTCTAGCCCTTTCTCGGGACCATTGACCATACAGGTTGCTGGTGCTCACTGTTTCTGGTCAATTCTGCCGGTATCTTCAGGGCGCTGCTTTCATGCTGCTGAAAGGAACGTTCGGAACGCCCGACGGAACGCCTAACTGGAGCAGCTCAGAACCCCGACGTCCCAAAGGCGCTTGGTGCCATCTGCAGTGTCGCCACGCCTCAAGAGCTGGTGCTTTAAGGCATTTTAATATCAAATCCGTCATATCAGGCCCTCCACAACTAACTAGCGATCTCAATGGTCAGGGTTTTTGTGGAGGCTTACATAGTCTTGACTCCAAAAACCTGGATCGACCTGCAACACTCTGCGACTTCTCAAAAAAATCCAAATCGACAAGTCATCGTCCCACATCTCAGGACAGGGCAACACCAAACAAACCTGGGCCAGGCCAGGTGCGCCAGCGGCAACACGCAGGTGGTGTAGCCTTTTGACTATGCGCTCACCACTTTAGGCCCAAACACCTTCTGCTACGTGGTGGTCTCAAATGTTCTCTATGCATAGGCAGGTGTGTATCTCTCTATATATTACAAATAGGTATTGCATGGTATTATACTTTGCTCCCTTTGCTTCGCTGTCGCCCCGTGCAACTTCGAACCCCAGCAACAGCACAAGGCCAAATACATTAAATACAGCACACTGGCTGTCACCCACACAGTCATAAAGCATTCCTGACTGTCAAACGCTTCTCTTCATCCAAGTTTAAGACCTGCAAACATGATCACCCACAAAGGTCCAGAATCTCAATGAATGTCCTCCCCAAATCTTCCAACAAATGATGCCTCCCTGGCCACCGCCCATTAAACAATAACGTGCCTCCGAGTGTGAATAGATGCTCTCAAAAAGCAGCGAGTTGAACACTGGCTGCTCTCGCTGTTCGGCCTGATAGTCAGAAAGCGGATTGGCCGAGGAAGTAAACAGGGGTCATGTAACATAGAAATCATAACAGCTTGGTTTGTAATGTTCAATAACATTCTCTCGGCAGAGGTCCAAACAACTCCACATTTACTCAGTACTCACTCCCTGCCCTCACCATTTTCTGCGCCTGTGAGAACTCCGTCTGATGATGGTCATCTGGATGTCTTAGGCCATTTTTCACCTCCTCCAATTGAAGCTCAGGAGACACGGACGAGACGTCCCTGTGGATTTCCATGCTGTATCTTTAACCACGTCAAGTAGGACATCTTGACCCGTGCATTAAAAGAACCAATGGCAGCTTAGGACGATGAACTTTCTTCAGCCAGAAACATCGTTCTCACTGATTCCAAGACCCAGATTTTCTTGGGATCGGTTACGGGTGAAGAGACAAACATCGTAGATATCTCTCATTCGCTCTGACAAACGTCACGAAGAGACCGAGACGCTAAGATCTGCCGAGAAGCAAGTTGCTCACCTAGGCGGCCATCTGAGAACGCATAGTATGGCATGCAAAAGGCCTGCAAAACATGGCACAATCGACCACAGAAACAGGGACAAACACATTTGCAGTAATTACTAATTACATCTATAATTACTATAGAACATGCAGTCAAGCTGCAGCTCCCAAGCAATAAAACACATACAATAAAGTCGTACGTAATAAGCTTCTATCTCCGGGCGACCGAGTGGGGACATTCGTACTCGGGAACGCTGCCGAAAAAGGGCGCCGCCTTCCGAAAGTAGGCGCCGTGATCCGGGGGCTCCGCCTCATTCGGTGTTTCAAATGGCTGCCCACATCCTGGACACACCAGGACACACTAGACATGAAGAGAAGCACTGAAGGCAACTCCTTCAATAGGGAAGTGGGGTCAGATCTTCGAAAACCCTCTTCTTGTGAAGCTTGGACCAAATAAAGTTGGCTTTAAGGACTTCTTGGCCTCAGGCCTCCGGAACCAAGCGCCAGCGCCAACCTTTTTCAACCCACCAAAAGTTCCACCTCGGTGATTGCTCGGAGTCACCGACTGGGCGCCCTGCATGCCAGAAAGCAAGGCTTAGGAAACAAAAAGTCAGTTCCTTATAATCCAAATATTGTTCACACGCGTTGGTGACAACGATAACGTCAACACGACGATCTCACTGGGGCCGGCGCTGACTGGAAGGGCTCATGCGCCCTAATTCCTGAGTCCGAGGCATCCCAGAGAAAGATGTAATTAACCTTCCTGAAACTCCGTGGGTGAGATGTCATTGTTGCTCTAGAACCGTTTATTTGTCAGCCCAAAAACAAGGACGCTTCGAGAAAAAAACCTCCATCGTTTGGAGTTCGCTGCAGCAGCTGAGCTCGCTCGTGTGGTTTTAGAAGAAAAACCGCTTGCAGAAACTGTTTTTGAAGTGAAACAACATCAAACAGAAACAGGTCATACAGATTTGGGCCACTATGGGGGGTAGAGCAGCTTTGTAGTGTCAATGAACATCATTCCTGCCTTGGATTGAACATGTTGTTAACAAAGAAAGTACACAAGTGTAGCATCCTTGCTACTAGTAGCGATGCCCTTTTCTCCTAGTAGCTACTTGTTCCTAGTAGTATGGCCAGGAGCCCGTAGTAGCATCCTTGCTACTAGTAGCGATGCCCTTTGCTACTAGTAGCCTCTTGTTCCTAGTAGTTAGGCCAGGAGCCCCTAGTAGCGTCCTTGCTCCTAGTAGCGATGCCCTTTGCTCCTAGTAGCTACTTGTTCCTAGTAGTAAAGCCCGGAGCCCCTAGTAGCGTCCTTGCTCCTAGTAGCGATGCCCTTTGCTCCTAGTAGCTTCTTGTTCCTAGTAGTATGGCCAGGAGCCACTAGTAGCGTCCTTGCTCCTAGTAGCGATGCCCTTTGCTTCGAGTAGCCTCTTGTTCCTAGTAGCGATGACCTGTGCTCCTAATAGAATTCTTGTTCCTAGTAGTAAGGCCAGGAGCCCCTAGTAGTGTCCTTGCTCCTAGTAGCGATGCCCTTTGCTCCCAATAGAATTCTTGGTCCTAGTAGTAAGGCCAGGAGCCCCTAGTAGCGTCCTTGCTCCTAGTAGCGATGCCCCTTGCTCTTGTTCCTAGTAGTAAGGCCAGGAGCCACTAGTAGCGTCCTTGCTCATAGTAGCGATGCCCTTTGTTCCTAGTAGCTTCTTGTTCCTAGTAGTAAGGCCAGGAGCCCCTAGTAGCGTCCTTGCTCCGTTCGTAGCGATGCCCTTTGTTTCTAGTAGCTTCTTGTTCCTAGTAGTAAGGCCAGGAGCCCCTAGGGCTGGCGATTTTTTAAAGGATTTTTTTTCGCGCTCTTTTTGGGAATTTTGTTCTGGTAGCGCTTTCACATAGTGGTTCCGTGGCAGGCATAGCATTTTGAGTACCTTCAGTTGCTCATTTTGTGGCAGGCGGAGCATTCTGTGACCCTCGATGTGCAGATTTCGTGGCAGCCACACAACTCTGTGAACCTCGATGTGCAGATTTCGTGGCAGGCAGCACTTCGTGAACCTTCAAGCGCGGACCTCGTGGCAGGCGCAGCATTTTGTGAACCTGGAAGTGCACCTTTCGTGGCGGGTGGCAAGTGCAGCACTTTGTGAACCTGGAAACCTTTTTGTGGCGGGCGCTGCACTTTTTTGAACCTCAAAGCGCAGATTACACTTCAGAGCTCACGCGTGAAAGAATGAAGCAATGCGAGGATCACAGCTGGAGCAAGGAAGCTAGGGGCAGGACAAAGCGTGCCTTTTTTCGCGTCGGCTGGTTCACATCACTTTGGATAGGTGGTTCGAAGCGCAGCTATCCTAAGGGATCAAAAAACAACAAAAAGGAAATCATTCAACTGGGATCAAAAAGACCTAAAAAGGGAATCAAAATTATATTCTAGCCCACTGAGGATGGTTGGGGTTGAGCATCGGCTCAAAAGCCTTCAACAGAAACACATCGGACCAGGCAGACACAAAAGAACGAAAGGATAGACATGCTGGACATTGCTGAGGGGCGCGCTATATCAACCACCTCTGTGGCTTTGTCACAGCTTTTACAGTATGGAAACCATAACTACTTGTAGCCTTTTTATAGCATTCACTGCGCAGAGGTGTTGGAAGCTAAGGTCGGCCCTATTATCCACCTATTTGGCATTGCCACTGTGTTTAGAGCATAGAAGAATGGAAGGGACAGCAGCAGCCACCTCAAAGGACCAAAGACAAGGACTAACATGCCAACACTCCAAAAATGTGCCAAACAAAGGCATGCGCAAGCCTCCAGCACCCCCCCAAACATATGGCAAATTAACGACAGGCAGCAAAGACACTGAATTGAAAGCCTTCAAAAGTTAGATGGCCCGGGTTGGTTCCGCAAGTGCCCTGCATGGAGGCGATATACGTTGACAAACAGGAAGCGCTTCACACCTGCTTCAAGATCAGGAGCAGACAATGAAAGGATATGTGCAACAAGTTCCCCAAAGTTCCCAGAGAGACTTAGACGACGTGCAATATGTGATCTGCAAGTGCGATGGGCGACCCTTTACATAGTTAGTCGTGGCAGGCGCAGTGCAAGAGTGCAGATTTCGTGGTGCTGGAGGGGGGTTGGGGGGGAGAGCGCAGCGCCTCCCCCCCAAAGCGAACCAAAGGTTAAAGCACAGCACCACAAAAGAAATCACTAGAAACTGTGTACCCTATCGCCCCCTCAGTGAAGGGCATCTAAAAGTGCACGGAAGGACCTAAGGCAACTGAAGCCAAAAGCAAACTGCGGCCAATAAGCTACAAGAGAAACGACCAAAGGCATCAAAAAGCATCAGTGAAAGAACAAGGAGAAAACCATAGGAAACCTGCAGACCAGAGGACCAGGAGAGGACCTGCAGACCACAGGGCCAGGAGAGCAGCAGAAGACGCCTATCAAGGATTTTTTTATTGATCCTGTATTACCTTTGTTTGATCCTTTTATCTTTTTTTGATGCTCTTTATATTTTTTTGTTGATCTAGATGCCCTCGGCAGCGGTCATGCCCTGGCAACATAGCAAGATGGTTGGAAAGATGATCAAAAGAAGAATCCGAGACATGCTCCAAAACCACCAAAAGCCAACACCCGCCAAACGCCAGAAGCCGCCAAAAGCCAAAAGCCACCACAAGCCAAAAGCCGCCAAAAGCCAAAAGCCGACGCCCGCCAAAAGCCAAACGCCACCAAAAGCCAAAAGCTGCCAAAAGCCAAAAGCCAACAAAAACCAACAGCCGCCAAAAGCCCAGAGCCACCAAAAGCCACAGCTAACAGAAAGCTATCAAACCACTAACGGTGAAAAAAAAAACAAAAAGGACGCGAAAAACCATCCCAAAAAAATATGAGTTCCGCCCCTAGTAGTGTCCTTGCTCCTAGTAGCGATGCCTTTTGCTCCTGTAGAATTCTTGCTCCTACGTAGTAGTAAGGCCAGGAGCCACTAGTAGCATCCTTGCTCCTAGTTCACCAAGAAGTCCACCAAAACATGCCAGTTTTCCAGCCTGGCAGCCCTGTCTGTAGTAGCGCTCCGTGAGTAAAAAGGCGTCCAGGATGGTGGTGTTGCCTTGGAGTGGGGAGGGAAAAGGAACTCGTAAAAATCATAAGACATCAGTTATCAGAGTCTTTCAATGAGAAGTCTGGATCATTGAGAATTCAATGAAGGGTCAGTGATCACGGTTCGAAGTGACCGTCCTGCATGATCTTGGAAGTCCAAGCTCAGGGCGAGTTAAAAAGGATGAAATAGATTGAAACAGCCATCCTCCTAACTGAACGCAGTCCGTTTTGCTTCTCCAGTTTCGGGAGAGAGCATTCGCCTCACGTCTGTCTTGTGGATTTCTTGGGCGTGTCGATATAAGCAAGGATAAGATATATCACGACTATCTACGCCCAAAGAGAAAGCGCATTCTGGAGAAGCTATGAAGGAATTACGGAGCATTCTAAATCTCAGTTGGTCCAATGGTGTTCCTGCAGACCTAGTAACACCGCGTGCCAACGCATTAACCAACGGAAACAGAAAAAATACAAACGCTGTCATTCCTTACAGGTCTGTAGATTCTGTAGTATCGCTCCGTAACGTTGCCCATTCACAGGAACAGCATGTTGTGCTTTTTTCCTTTTTTTTTTTTCGATGGAGTCTCTACGTGGTCAATGCTCCGTTGCCAAACCACGCGACCTCTTCAAGACTTGGACACCACACGATCCAGGGACCAGTGTCGAGCTGTATAGGGGGCAGACTCATGCCACAGCCCATCCTCTGGTTTTATTCGTGCGGTTTGGCGATGACTCCATGACCGTCTCTGCTGTGTGATCCGAACAAACACTCAGTTCAGTTGGGAGCGAAAAGCAGCAGGCGCTGGGCCTGTGAAGACTGCAACAAACCTCAACCAAGGCCTCCGTCTGCAACCAGCGCCGAGAATGACATGTCAGCTCGAAGAAGGCCTGGCATCAAGGGCCCAAGGCCCTTAAAATGTCCATCGAACTTATATCCCAAACATCTTGCTGCAACTGTTCAAGTCTGCTTCCCTTGCACGCACCATGGGTGGAAGTGGATGCACCAACATGTCCTTACAACATTAGAGCAGGAAAGAACGTTGCCTTATTTCGGAGTGAACCACTTTTGTTGGATAGGTTGGAGGCCATGGCTACTAGCTTGGAGGCCATTGCTTCTAGGTGCCTGCCATGGCGTTCTGTCGGATTCCGTACCTGTCGCTCCGTAAAGTCTTGGCCGACAGCGCCCACATAGCCTGCCAAAGCGAGCCGGGACGGACCAATTAGATATCGCTGTGAGGACGCTCGGTCTTCTCGTCAACTGTGGAAGCAAGTGTGGTGGGGTCAGCAGCCACACTTCATGACTTCATGTGTCATCAGTGGTGCACGCGAACAGCTGCTGGAAGGTAATATATAACCAAAGGATATTGACTTCTGAGATCTCCGAGCATACAAGGGGGGACCCGCCACAAGTTATATGGAGAAGCATGCATGAAGCTATGAGAAGCCTCAAACCAGTTAGGGACAAATAGATAGAGATAGATATTAAGGGAGAGAGAGCTGAAAAATAGAAAGGGGATGAACAACAAAAATAGGCGGAGAGGGAAAGGGAGAGAAACATCAGGTGCTCTGACAGGCAAGGCCAATTCAAGACTTCCCGGTGGGAGGAAGCCAGTCTCTATGCAGGGCACAAGAACATGTCGAAGTGTCCCCATTCTGGCACACCAACGTGCATTACTCACATCAATTCACATCACTTAAGTAACACCACCGCTATGATCCTTTGATTGGCTTCCCATGAGGTATCTCCTCCCGAGGTGCCACAATGAATCGGCGACAGGCCCTGTAGGCAGCAGGCCCTGCCTATCCGAAAGCGCCGGGGCACTTCGGGAACACCTGTAACAAGTGCCACGCTAGTAGTAACAAGTGCCTTACTAGTAGTAACAATGTTTGCTAGTAGAAACAAGTGCCACGCTAGTAGTAACAAGTGCCTTACTAGTAGTAACAATGTTTGCTAGTAGAAACATGTGCATCGCTAGTAGTAACAAGTGCCTTGTTCCCGTCTCAGCGGGTCGCGACAGCGTGACGCGTGGGGCAGCAGCACGAAGCGGCTACGTAGGCCTGGGCTGCCATCGCTGCTTTCGTCGATGGACATCATCTCAGAGGTGAATGTCTTATTTGTATTTCAATGATTGTGTATGTCATACTATTTCATCATCTCTTAAGCTTAGATCTAATCTATGATCCATTATGCGTTTTGTGACTTCGAGCTATTTCCACCCGAACAGGTTTGTCCCGTCACTCGTCGGACACCTGCATTTTGGATGATCGGACAGAAGCGGCAGAGCATCGTCGGACCTACCCGGGTCCTGTCGGGTGGGAAAAAGGGGCTCAAAACAGGTTGTGCGATACGGCACGAGACCTTCCGTCAAGGCATGCGGCAGAAAAGGGAACTCCCAGGGCCATGTGCTTGGTCTTTCTTGTGCTTGTTATGAAGAACTCACCAAAGCTAACAACCAGTCCATTTGCCTTGCGAAACTGGTACCCGATAAGCTGGATTACTCTAGGATGTTTTTTCAACATGTTATTGCATGTCTTTGTTTAACTACACTTGCAACGAAATTGGTCATACATGGTCATACCTTCCTTCGGCTTGGGTGGACGTCCACCCTCTCGAAGTCGCCATACCGCCGGTTTTGCAAGTGGCTCCAAGAGTCTTTGACATCCCCACAAGGTGGAGGGCAAGCGACCTGTCAAACGGTCAACACCAAGCAACACGAGTCACCCTCCTAGAAGGAGGTCCCAGGAACCTTCTGGAGAAAACTGGTACAGTATATTCAGTATATTGTTGTCCTTTGTAATGCACAAAGTATATATAATTCTGAGGTTCCTGATGCGTCATGAAGTTCCTGAAAAGCTGTGAAGCATGGTAAACTCTGCTTACACCCATAGGCAGTCTTGGCTCTCCAAACACCGCTCCACAGCGCGCGCGGGTGGCCACACCGTGAGTATGATCCAATTGGCAGCTGATGGATGGTAGTCCGTCAAGGCAAAGCCCATGGAGGAGCGATAAAAGTCAAACCTGCTTCAGCCGACTTGGCGCGGGCATATAGCCTCGTTGGATCTGTTATGAGATCACGACATATATCTGGCAACCTCAAAAACAGCCATATATTTTGTGTTTAATGCATAAACATACATATATATATATAATATATATAACATGTAGATATATAGTGTTAATCCATCATGTTGAGAAAGGTGTTCATCTGCCTTGTGGGGTTGTGAATGTTGACCATAGTTGGAGGTATTTGGAGCTTAATTTTAAAGAGCGTCTACGCCTGAAACAAACTGAGCAATTCTGACTTCACCATCCTCCCAACCTGAGAAAGAAGAACCACTTTGACCTGATGTTTCAAGAAACACACATTGACGTCTATCTGATCTATCTTAACTCTATTGTGATGAAACCACATACCTAACCCCACTAAATACCCCACCCTCCGAAGTCTCCACATTGCCAGGTCACTCCACCCCATAAAGCACCAGCTGGTCGTGGCCGTTGTGGCGTAAGAAGTAGGGACGGCTCAGCAATAGGTCGAAGGTGGCAGCCACGCAACGAAGGGCCTCTTCCCGGTGACGAAACCCGTGACGATCCCAAACGAGGACGTCAGGGAACGAGAACGTGAGGACGGTCTAGGAGGTTGTTACTAGTAGAATTCTTGTTCCTAGTAGCAACGCCAGGAACCCCTAGTAGCGTCCTTGCTCCTAGTAGCGATGCCCTTTGTTCCTAGTAGCCTCTTGTTCCTAGTAGCAACGCACTACCAGAAGCCAGGCAGGGGTGTCCAAGTGGTGTTCACCAAGGTCTTGGCCACCTCTGCATCTCCAAGTGGCAGCGGTTTCTAGAATGTTCCCCAGTGTCTTTGACCACCAGAAAGGTGCTTGACCAGCTCTGGCTCCAAAAAAGGTTGATTTTTCATTTTATAGTGCCTGGGTGCTGTGGGCCTGGCACAGGTGGCCACTACCAGAAGCCAGGCACGGGTCTCCTCAAGTGGTGTTCAGCAAAATCTTTCCCCATGTACTTGGCCACCTCTTCTGCATCTGCAAGTGGCAGTGGCTTCTAGAATGTTCCCCAGAGTCTTTCCCCACCAGAAAGGTGCTTGACCAGCTCTGGCTCCAAAAAACATTGATTTTGCATTTTATTGTGGGCCTGGCACAGGTGGCGTGGCCAATATTAGAAGCCAGGCAGGGGTGTCCAAGTGGTGTTCACCAATGTCTTTCCACACCTGAAAGGTACTTGGCCACCTCTGCATCTCCAAGTGACCAGCTCTGGCTCCAAAAAAGGTTGATTTTTCATTTTATAGTGGCCTGGGCGCTGTGGGCCTGGCACAGGTGGCCACTACCAGAAGCCAGGCAGGGGTCTCCAAGTCATGTTCATCTCCAAGTGGCAGTGGTTTCTAGAATGTTCCCCAGGGGCTTTCCCCACCAGAAAGGTGCTTGACCAGCTCTGGCTCCAAAAA